GAAATTCCTGTCATGGTTTAGAATACTGGCACAGCAGAAGCACAAAAAAATTTGTTTGAATTTTCTTACTAAAAAATATCATAATCTGACTGGATAAAATGACCTGGCCGGGTCTTGAGAACCAAATTTTTTATTGGTGTGGCCTTATATTAGTTCAAATTTAATGAAAACGTTAAATTAGATATAAATAAAGTTTATTTAAGGTGTAGAAATTGATTTTCTTATAAAAATTTTTTTGATCTCTTTTCTTTTTTAAAAGACAAACGACAATGTTTTATTAGGCTATACAATTTTAAGTATGCCAAATCGGATTAACGGATAGTATTCGTACCCGGGTCATATTTTTTAGACTGGTTCAATTTCTATACACAATTGCAATTTTATCATATTTTTCAGGCATCGATTTATGAATAAATATGTGGAATAACCATTATCGCGGATGTATAGAGTGTCCGGAGAATTTTTTGGAAAATTTCATTGTATCAACAATTAAAATTCCCTGAAACATTCAAGTTCTCTTCGTCAAGATGTCGGGATTTTGTTATGTATCTTTATAGAAATTTATTTTAACTACATCTACGATACGATAATATATTAAATATGTAATAAATACATTTATATCTGAATATCTATGGTTATTGATACCTTGTTCGTACAGTACATTAAATTTGTTCTTGTTTCGTACATTGAATTTTAGTACACTGGTGGCAAGAATTTGGTATAACAGTACAAGTTTCATCAGCTCCACATGAGTTAGGCCCGCATGTCAATTCGATATGAGGACAAAACAAACATCTTCTCGTACATTGGATTCTACTACACTCCTGACAAGATTGTTTTATAACAGAGCAAGTTTCATCCTCTTTACATGAGGTGGGTGTGCATTCGTAAGCAATCTCAGGACAAATCTTACAATTCTCATTTACTACGCAAAATACACAATTACATTGGATAAGAATTAGGATGTGAGTTCTTTAAACTTGTAAAAGGCTTCATCGGTTACCTGTCGCGCGATTTATGTTAATTGCTTCGAGGTTGTTGAATAATGAAAGAACGATCATAGTACATGTTAAAAGGAAAAGGAAATTTTGGACGATTGACATGTTCATGTTTGTTCTCATGATTTTTAGTAAAATTTTTTATCAGTATTGCTATAATTTGCGGTGCTTGATTACTTTTCTCTTGTTTTTATACTTTTACCAACCATACATGTATAATTTTATCGTTATGCACATGTATGATAATTCATAATACATGGACTGTACATGTATGTACAAGGACTCTATCTATATCGATACATGTATTAATATCTAAAACAATACATGTACATTAACGTAATGAAATTTCTTTAAAATTTGATTGGATTTTCATTACAGGACATATACATGTATGAATAATAATTATTGTTATGAATGCTTTTTCTTCAAAACGCATTTAGTACGTAATAATAAAATAATAATAGCATTATTAATTTATAGAATTTCATCTGAGATTTATATTAAAACCTCTTATTAATTTTTTCTAGAAATAAATACCGATTAAATGCGATGTATGGAATGAGATGGTGTTTATTCACGGAAGGTCTTAATTAATGATCACTACCGGAGAAACACGAATAACGATAACAGATAGTTAGTTTACAACTATTAAAATTACCATTACAACCGTCAAATGCCACATCTCTGGATAACGCTAGCAATGCTACAACAGTACGTGTATGCGTGTATTTTTACACATATATGTACATATACATCTACATGCACAATAAAAAATTATTGTTGATGAAACGACATGACTGTTCTATACTGTATGTTAAGTTCACAATGCTCGTAATCTTTAAATTTTCGAAAGGAATATTCAAAACTATTGTTAGACTCATACTAGTCGTATCACACTCAATTCGGAAGAATTATAAACACAACAAGGGTCGAGAGCTAGAATGAATGATTCACGCAGAGTGGATTTCACTAGGGTTCTAAAGATCTCCTATGCCAATCTACATGGAGATTGTGCAATCGAAGGGCAAGAGTTTAAAGGCGGCAAAGGTAAAATATAAAATAATAATATTTTAATTCGAATAGTAAAAGCGCTAGTCAATTAATAACAAAATAACAATACTAATTCACTAATAAAACTCAAATAATAATTATTCCGAGCCACAATCCAGATAATCAAAGAATCAAAAGTGATTCACCAACTTTGTATAGCCAAAGCAGTAAAGCCTTCGATTTTGTTAAGCACAAAGAAATAAAGCTATCGATTTCTTTATGACACAAAAGAAATGAAAGTTGGGTAAGAGTAAAAAATAATTTTTATTTAGTCATTTTCTTCAAACCACACATTGCTTGTCTCTCTGATCCTTGAGAGCTATCCTTAATATATAATTTGGTTATTATTTAACTATCTAGCTATCTAGATGCCAGATTGTAATTCTATACGAAATTCGTGGGTTTTTAGTACATGCACACAAAGTAAGAATTTTTAAAAAGGAATATGACTACGCTTTGAGATAAGGAATATAATAAAATTGTAAGGATAAAATAAAATATAATAGAATTATCGCCTGATTATCATTTTTCAAAA